CCTCGGCCAGGCCCAGGCCGGGCCCGACCGGAGACAAGGCTGACGGCGGCGGCCCGGAGTGCAGTTCAGAGTGCAGTTCGTCACTGGCGAGGATTAGACCAATTGTTGCCAATAGTAACACATTTATTGGGGGGCCCCCCCGAGACCTCCCCGAGCGGTTCGCACGGGCAGCGTCTCAAGCAGTAGGCACTCGACTGTACTGAAGGAGTGGTTGCAGGGCCGGCCGTATGGCGATGTCTGATACGAGTCGAGGATTCCAGCTGTCGCCACCTGGCGCGCTACTGTCGGCGCGGTACATTTGAAACTTGGGGATGCCCAGACTGCCGAGACTTGACTTCTAACAACCCCTGAACATGTTTTGAGTCATAATTTTGGTGCAACAAGGGTAAATAGTGGAGGTGGGAGGGGTAATAGGAGGTTCAACGGCAACACTGCCATTGCTTTAAGCTGCCAAGCAGGCTGCAGCTTGCTCGCTCGCCCCGGCTGCCCACTTCCCGGTACCCTCTCTCTTCCGCGCACCATACATATGGATTAAAATCTAAAAATTGGAATGTAAAATCATTTTTTGGTATTTTTTTTCTTTTCAGAGTTTATAATTGCCTTTTAAAATGTAGCCTAAGGTGTTTATTCCAACATACCAAAGGTCTGGGATGAGATCTCTTAAGAGAATGGAAAACGTTACTGAAAGCGAATAAATTTGGTTTAAAGATGTCTGATGGAAATAAAGAAATTTCCTTCAATTGTCCCTCTCTTTATTCATTATTACAGTTCTGATAAAATGTTTTCTTCTTGTTTTCTTCCAAAGGATTTATAATGGCCAAACCCACAACAGTTTGGATAAATTTAAGATTCTTTTAGTAATGTGGGTAATGTTTACAACATAAATTATTACTACAAAGAATGACTTTTTAATATTGCCTCCTGAAAGAATACTTCATATTTCTGAGCTGTACTGGTTCAGAAACACTCTCTGTGTCTTAAACCTTCATAGAGTTTGAAATATATGAACATTTTTTTTCAGCCCTTGCCTATGTTAAGAGTTTTATAACATTCCTTTAAAGTAAACCCTGAGGTGTGTACGTAAACATATCTAGAGACTGGAATGAGATCTTTCAAAAGAATGGAGACGTTACAGAAAGCGAAGAAATTTGGTTAAAAGATATTGTAAATCTAATGGAAATTTAAGGATTATCATACAACTGATGCCCTTCTCTGCATTCTAGAATATTGTTTTCATGAAAATTTTTATCCTTGAACTTCTTTATTTAAGAGGCCTTTTAATTTTAGAGTCCCATTAAGAAGTACAAGTACAAAGTACAAACTTGGAGTTGTATTCGCCTCAACTAAAGTGGTTGCAGTGAATGGGTTTAAGTTTGAAGATTTCCAACTGACAGAATTCAAATCACTTGCGGATGGCTGAGCATTAGTCTAAAGAATATTTAAGACAGGAAATCAGTACAAAAAATATAGCACACATTTTAGAAATAATAACAATAACATAAATCGTCAAGTAGGCACTCACAAGTTTGATGGGTGGAGGGGCATTTTCTTTTTTCCCTTGGCCTTTCCGCTGGCTGTTGCGTACGAATCTTTTCCGCCTCGGTTTCTTAGGCATGATGCTTAAGTATTAAAAGGCCAAATAAAATTGGGAGCAGAGTGAAAAATAAATAACAGCAGGCCCGCAAAGTCGCTTTAGGTTAGGCACGTCCGCGGCCAAGAAAATAAGGCCAAATAGCAACCAAATCAAAGGTCTGTGATTGATAAATATGCACACCAGTTAAACTTCAAGGTTTGAAAGGAACAAATAGTGTGGTTTAAGAACAAGACAAGAACCCTTACGGATATAAATGTTCGAATGAAAATCTGTTCCCAACCGGCTCCCGGGCCTGCTCCGTATTTCTCGCGAAGGCTCAAGATGGTGGAGCCCTTCGCCAGGGAAACCGTACCACCAGCGCCACCAGTGGCAGAAAGTGGCAACCTAGACTCTTATCAGACATCGACATACGCGAGGGTGCTTTTTTAATCATTAATATATTTTTAACGCAAACATAAACGGTTGAATTGTTGTTCTATCTTGTCTTCTTCAACCTTTCTTAGTTTGTCGGAAAAGGTTTTACTTTGATCAGGGCTATCATCTTTAAACTCTGTGGCCTTCTCAGGCACCGTGTATCTGGCCCCCGTCGCAGTAACCTCTCCTTCACTAATCCTCGCTAGCTTCCACCAGCTTCCACCTTCCAAGTTCCAAGGCCACCCCTCTCCTCTCTTTCCCTCCCCCTCTCTCCACCTCTCACCCAAACACTATCATATCGCGTCGTGTGTACCGTGTGTACATCTACATCCACACAACCTCAACAGAAAAACATAACAGAACAGAGAACAACAGGGGGAGGAAATCCCTAGAGCATCGCGCATTTCAGCCATGGAGGAATAGTGTGTGGGCCAGTGTATTGGCTGATTTTGTTAACAACTTCTTCTCTCCCAGTGAGTCCGAAATGAGTCCAGTAAGTTTTGGTGCCACAGCTAGCAGTTTTTGGTGTACAGTTCTTATGGATTCATCATTTGAACACCCTCCTATTTGCATTCTTTGCTATGATAGGGCTCACAACCTTGTCAGCAGAACCTACTGGCTAAACTTCTATAGCCATGTAAATTTTAGTTAATTGCATGCCTATTGCTTATTCAATTCCTATCTGTCCTAAATATATAATGGACAGGCTAGATTTATTTTGCGGCTGTTTTTCTTTTACTAGAAATTGCATTCTTTGTCTTCGTTGTTTTTCCTAATATTCTTGATACATATAATGTGGCTCCATATGTTTCAGGTATAACATGATGTCGACAATAATGGCTGTTTCGGGTGGTCCTCAGACAGGGGGCAGTAGTGGTTCTCCTGTTAAAGAGAGAGAACAGTTGATGGCAGATCTACATGATGCTGTTAAAAAATGCCAAGTCCGATTTGGTGGCAGAGCTGAGCTAGCTACTGAATCAGATCCTCACGTTGCAACATTATGTTGTCGCTTAGAAGCTGCACTCTCCCATGGACTGCGAGCCAAACCATTGAACAAATCTAGCTCTACTCTCAAGTAAGAACTTCAAAACTAAACAAAGAAACTCTTTTAATGTTCCAAATCCTATTGTATCATTTTGAAAAATTAATTATATAAACTGTTTTAGGCAAATGACAGAGATTGTATCAACAAGCTTAATGCTAAGTAGATCTGATGGAACAAACCATTTATCATTTTGGCATTATGTAGCTGAACACCTTACAAAACATGAATATGAACGATATCTTCTTCTAAAACAGGTTTTCTTTGCTATTTGCTATGTTTATAAGACAACAACAGTCCATAAATTTACAACTTTTCTTAAAGTGCCATTTATTTTCAGGTATGGACAGACACAGGAAGGGGCCGAGCTTGGCTGAGGTCATCTTTAAATGAACATTCGTTAGAGCGATATCTACACTGCTTGCTTGCAAGTCCTCAACAAATTACGCAGTATTATGAAGAGTGGGCATTATTGTTAGATCAAGAACTTTCAAGCAATTTACCAATAATGGCCAGAGGTAAAGTGGAAAAACAGCAGAGGGTTCCTAAATATGTTTGTAAATGACACACATGAGATTAAAATTACTAATTCTACCTTTACATTTTTGGAAATTTATATAGGATTGGGACCCATTTTGTTTGCAATCAGTATTGATAAAATTGAATTAAATCAATGGGGTAAGGGTACAAATAGTGGTAGTCTATCCTCTGGGGATCTATCTCTGTCAAGATCTGAACCCATAATAATTGCAGATGCTCAAACAGGTATGCTGAACTTTCAAAATATAAATATCACAAAATACTGTGCTCTGTTGGAAATTGTGAGTGGTAACCGTTTGTCCCTTCATTTCTTTTTCCTGGTGGTAATTGTGATTGTTCTCTCTTTCTTATAGACAATAGTAGTTCTGGAAGTGGAAGTATGGGAAGCAGTGGGACACGGAAGAAAAATGACAGTCGTCGAAGGAGGAAAGGCCCTGTCAATATTATCTCTTTTGATGGTGATGATGTTCCAATAAGCATTCGAGGAGCTTCTCGGCCATTTGATGTCAGCAGTGCTCCCCCAACCTGCCTTAGCTCACCTGTTGCAATTCCTGTAATGTTAAATGATCAAAGAAATACTAACTCATCTCTAGATAATGCAGCTGCTACAAAATCCATGGAGGTAAAAGTCATTTTTAACAATGTAACTACATATCCTATTATTTAATCTCAATGACTCAACTAAGTACTTGCATTAAATTATCTATCTTACAGAAGACACATCCTGAAAAATCATGTGTACAAGAAGAACCGACTAAGGATCAGAGCAATTTAGGAGATTCAATTTCAGTCCCTGTTTCAAGTTCTTGCCCTCCCATTGTTACTGTAGAAATACAGGCATCAGATGATGAAGGTTGTGCTGACAGTACAATGAAAGCCAAGTCAGGGCACCAATCAAGGTAAAATTTATTAGACTAATTATTATTTATTTGACACTTTCAAACTGACAGTATCCTTCCTTTTTGTTTATGCTGACCACTTTTTATTATGTTACAGGATTACCCAAATGCAGACATTGACTCCTGTTAACAATTTAAGTGTTGGAGAACTTATACCAGTTTCAGTGAATGAAGAAGCGCATTCAGAAGAGGATTCCCTCTCTGTACCAAGCTACTCAGAGGTTTGACCAATAAAATCAAAGAATATTTACATTGTTATGCTTTTGCATTGTTTTCCTTACTGCTTTATCTCTTGTAATTTAAGGATACGGACTGTGCTGCAGCAGCTCTTATTGCCACTCAAAAGTTGTTGCAGAGCACAACTTTGGATTACAATCCCCCAGAGCAGCCATCAAGTAGTGCTCGTACAAAAAGCAAAGTAGAATTACCTGCTCATGTCAATGGTTTGTCATACATACCGAAATTTTAAAATTTTGAGTCTGCCACAACTTTGACATTTTATTCTCTTCTCCCCCTAGGTGAAGTTCGTGATGCACTTCTTGCTGTATTGACAAGAAAAGAGGAACTGCAAAAAGAAAATCGGCAACTTAAAAAAGCTCTAGAGGAAAGTCAAGAAAAGATAAATACATTGCAAGCAGAGATTGCAGAAGCATCGAGGGTTCATTCCGAAAAAAATGAGCGAGTGGAAAGTCGTTTACATGCATTAAATAGGTAGGTCCTTAGAAGTAGCACACTTTTCATATACTTTTCAAATTAGATTTCAATTAGGTTTCATCTAACATGTTTCCAGAGAAAATGAATTACTAAAACATCAGCTCAGAAAATATGTTGGAGCTGTTCAAATGTTGAGGAGGGATGGAGCCCAGGCTCATGAGATGTTGAGTCAATTAGCTGGAGGCCAATTAGTTGGGGATCCTCCTGATTACCACACTGAAGCTCGAGAATATGAAAAAAAATTAATTCAGGTAAACATAAGTAGTTCTTCTGGGCATTAGTCAGGAACATATAAGTTTTGAAATACTCATCTTTGCTCTACCTGTACTTATTTTTATAGGTTGCTGAAATGCATGGTGAGTTGATGGAGTTCAATGAAAGGTTGCACCGTGCTCTGCAGACCAAAGAGAGTATGTTGCGAAGACTCCGTGATGAACTTGTTGATTTACGTGGTCCATTGCCTGATGAACCAGCAACATCGGATGATGATGCGCATAGTGTGACAAGTGACTATGATGGAGGTTCTATATGTACTGCAGCTCGTGCTTTAGTTAATATATGGGTGCCATCAGCATTCTTGACCGGGGGCTCTTCAGATGTACATCATGTCTACCAGGTTCATTATTACTTCAAAGTTTTGACAGGTTTTCTTTTCTCTTTTTCTGTAATCTACTGATCTAAGTAAGATTTTTGTGTGTATTTGCAGGTTTTCATACGTATTAGAGATGATGAGTGGAATATTTATCGACGCTATGCTCAGTTTTACTCCCTTCATAAAGATCTGAAAAAACAAGATGCAGTTGTTGGAACTTTTGATTTTCCGCCAAAAAAAGCTTTGGGAAATAAGGTATTTTTTCCCCTCTTTCTGTTTTTCAACTTGATAAACAGGTCACCTTTTTACAATATTACATTCTATGTTCTTATCTATATTCCCTTTAAATTATACAGGACGCTCGTTTTGTAGAGGAACGTCGAAAAAGATTGCAACATTATCTTAGATGTGTAATGAATCATTTAATTCAGACTAATTCTGAGCTGGCGTCTGCTCCTGATAAAGAGCTTCTGGTGCACATGATTCCATTTTTTGGGTTAGTGCACTGCTATTACTACATAGCATTTAAGTGTTGTGTTTTGGTAGCTCTAGTTTTCTTCATTTCTACTTATTAATGTGTTCTTTTACAGGGAAATGGGAAGTGGAAATGATGATAGAACGCGCAGGAAACGTGCAAGCTCTCGCAACCCATTCACAAGGCTCACAAGGATTAATCCTGACACACAGGCTGGTAGTTCGACTCCTCAGTACACTGGCCTGTGACACCAGCATTTGTTCAATTAGTATTGCTCAAGGACCATATTCCGTCCCACACATCTTCTTTGCTAAAGAAAATATAACGGGCCATTATCAGTAAAGTTACAACTTTGGTTCAACTGAGGGAATGTGTAGTATTCTAAAAGAACAAATACTGTAGATATTTTTCTTCTTACTGATTTCATGCATGAAATGTTGAGTTGAGGTTGGTCTTGGCCCTTAATTTGGTTTTATGTTGTTCAGTGATGCCCAGAAAGGTTGGTGAAGTTTTTCTTTATTTTTTCTTTTCTATCTTTCATGGTTTGCAGTAGACCATGACCAATAACCAGGAAGGAAAGATATTGTTGAAAATTGTAGGAACCACTATTTTTTTCAGTATAAACAACTGTTTTCTGAAGAGTGTTGAGCTGGGGTTTCACCTTAAATACTCACTCATAATTGATTGAAAATAGGCCGTGCTTTTTGGGGGGGTTCTTTTGGTCAATTGTGCTACAGTTTGTGGTGTGCCTTGTGATAGAAAGTGCCAATTCCAAACGTAAATGTTGTATCTTTAGTCATGTCACGTTTCTCCTGAAAGCTATAAACTATTGTGTTCATGATTTGTTCATGTATTAAATAGTAGCAATTATTTTATTACTGTGCAGGCTTTACCCTGTAAACTCATTTTTGCTGTTGTTATTGTTATTGTTGTTGTTGTTACTTATTGTGAATACCTCCCCATGGTTTTGAAAATCTCTCTGTTTTAAAATATTAAGTTTGCTGTACATGTGTTTGTGCATGTGTGTGTGTGTGTGTTATGTGTGAGTTAGTGTTAATGTAAATGTTCTGAATTATTGTGGAAGTAGTTTATTAATTTCACTTTTGTATGAAATACTCTGTAAGTCAATTTAGAAGTCATGTATTGTGAAGGACTTATACCAAGTTTTTGATGGAGAATTTTTAGTTTAAGTATTATCTTGTGATTTTATGGTTTCTGAAATTGCTCTAGTTCAAAAATTAAGTTAGAAGATACTTCAAAAACATTCAATGATTTTTCTGCCTAATCTCAAATCTTATATTTCAACCAAATCATTTTCCATGTGATCTTTATTTTTATAATTTTAATTACCCTCTAAAATTATTTGTGTTTTGTAGTAAGTCACACCCCCTTCACATTATTGTTTTAGTGAAATTACACTGAGTTATATTCTAGACCATTAATATGTACTAATGCTCCTGTTTGCATTATAAATTGCCTTGTTGGCTCACAATGCATTCCAAAGATAACAATATGTACTAAATGTAAGTGCCAATGTGAATGAATTAATTTTATTCCATCAGACCTCTCATTTCAGCTACCCCATGCTAATTAGGTGATGAATCCAAGGGTTACTTTTGTGATATGTTAAATTAAGAATGTTTGAATGTATGCAAACTGCGCTAAAACAGTTTTTAAAAATGCATGAATATAATGAAACTTATGACTCAGATGGCACGGAGTAAAATTTCTAGTTATTATCTTTGCTTTTACTGTACCACTTTTGTTTTTTGGAAGCAGCTGGATGTTGTGAATCAGTTCTCAATAAACAAAATAAATAAATTATCCAGGAATTAAAAAAATTATGAGGCTACCTGTCTCCCTGTACTGCACGAAGGTTGGGGGGATCAGTCATTCCGTCATTCCGGTCATTCCTATCGAAAATGGTCGTGCATCCATGACCATGACGTCACTGTGAATGTGAAGGGAATGTTGCCTCATTCGACAGCACATCCAATAGAGGGCGCCAGAGTCTTGAAAACGCGGCAAATTTACTTGGAGATGCTTGCGGAGATATCTCACATTTAGGTTCAGACGTAACATGCTCTTTGGCACTTCCCCCATCGATACAAGTTGACGACAGAACGCATGTCTCAAAAGTCCAATCTTATCTCTTCGGAGGTGCAGGGTCGTGACGATCCGGGAAGTCCAAATCCAGTTTGTCAAGCCGTCGATGAATGGGAGACTTTATGTACACTTGTAATCCGTTTCTAGCATGGTCTATCACAGTCAAGTCACTTCGAATCGAATGAACGGTTACAAAATATACAAATAATCGAGTACTTGCTCTCTACAAAACGCCATAAATAGGCGTTTTAGGAGTAAAAAGCCCATGTCTTCAGTGTTGGCAGCTCTGAGACCTTTCGCCGCAACCGGAAACGTATCCTTCATAGTTTTGTGGTGGGTGCAGGGATGCTGTGTTTTTAAGGTACTTGTACTTGTATTCAGTGATTTAGCACAGAAGATGTACTTCAGCAAGTAGCGTACTTAAAATTTCAAATGGTGCGTCTATTAGTTTTCGTTTAGCGCTTTGCTGTCGTCCCGAACGGCCCAATCTGCCCACTTGTTGTGTAACCCGTTCTTGAGCGTGTGTGATGCCCTCACACAGTAAGATTGTCGATATTTTAACTGTTCAACAAATAATGAGTTCTTGCGTGTCTCGTCCCCTGACGATGATCTCCTTCCCTTTTAATTACTCACCTTAATCAGAGCGCTCCATTCTTTCCTGCTTTGTCTTGAGACCTGGCACTGCAAGCGCGCCAGTACCGCCCATTGTGTCCCGAGCGTAGGCCAAGGGAAGTGTCTGGGAGGTTATGTTACCGTTTGCACTTTTGGTTCATGTGATAACTCGGAAATTCATTAAGCGACGGCTATCTTTCAGGGAATGTTCAGGTATTAACACAGCAGCTTTTTTGGGGAATGTTCTCGCCGGCAAGGTGTTATGCTGTAAATGCCGTTGTAATGCTGGAGACAATATATACTTGTTCTATGCTTTTTGTATGCCTTGTACTCCAACCCAGTACGTACGCCTTACGGCATTTTCTCTTTTTTCTTCTATCATTGAATGAAACGAAGTTATGGAACACGTTCATGCACTCCTCATTCTCAGTTCACACAGTTTTAGTTAAATTGTACAGCCGACAGGGTGGGGCTGTACTCAGCATCCAAGTATTCCTATCCAAATCTAGTGTCTTTATAGGCGTGTTGTAGCGCTCCTGTTACTTGTTATCGTTTGTGTTGTCTAATAATGGATGTTTCCTGCCACTTCATGAGAAATACACACTAAGCTCTCATGATTCCTTCAACTAGATATTCAATTTAATGCTGTCATGAGGCAGTTTTCTGTGCATTGAATTTCCTTCAAAAGGGTTGTATTTATATTTATTTCCAAACAATGGATTTAACCTTAGCTTTATTTTTGTACTTCATATCTTCCTTATTAATAATTGACATGATAACATGCAGAACATCTTACTCATTACCTTATCTCACATACCTGTGCTTTTGGCATTCAAAAAACTTAGCCACTTGTTAGCATAAACATGAAGAAGAGGTTAGATTTTTGTATTGTGCGCTCTCTTAATATTTTCTTCTCTTTTCAGGAAACTATGTGCTATAAATCGTCAAATGAAAACGATTTCATCTAAGGAAAATAACTTAATCTCAGGACTACTACTTTCATTGCCAGGTAATTTGAATTGGGGGCCATTTAGATTAGCTTAATAGTTATTGTCTTCTTAAATGTATGATTCTTATTCCCAACTTTCTGTTGAAAGCTTTCCCATATTGTCCTTGGAAAGCATAGGAAATTTTTGGGCCATGACAGAGTTTCTCTAGTTTTACTTTAGCTCTAATTAATTATGTTTGTTTACAGATTCAGTTGCTGACTAGGGAACTTCCCTGTTACTTTGAAGATCACAATTAATGTGAGTAAGCACAGCTTGTGTTTGATTGCTACGCACCTTATTGTGTTTTATATTTACTTCTTCTTGAGCTAAGTTAAATTGTTGTTCGAAGTACAACCACAGAAAAATATTTTCTTAGCTCGTTACAAATCAAAATTAAAATCATGCCTTTATTATATTCTTGTTTCTTAGTCAAACTTCTATGCTGTGTGTATGTTATCTTGGTTTTAATCAGATTTGTCTTATTTCCAACAGGTGTGAAACATGGCACCAGTAGGACGACCTTCTGCAAGTGGAAAGGGGCTGCATTCAAAAGATGAAAATTCCATAAAAAGTAAAGATGATGAAGTTAAAAATGAGCCTCCGGATAGGGGCTTTCATGAAGAAGTTCACATTAAAATTGAAAGGGAGGATGATGACACTGTTTTATATGCCCCCATGAACGTGGATGAAGGGATAGTGATTAAAAAAGAAGAAAGTGATGACTCCATGGAAGAAGATGAAGGATCAGATGATGACATTTTGGATGTAGTAAATGGGAGGCTTGATGGAATTGACAATGAAAAAGCAGGTGATGTGATTGACATTTCAGATGACCCCAACAAAGCACTTAAGTCTCTGTTATGTAAATTTTGTGGAAAGCAATTTTTTCGAGCATTCTATTTTAACTTGCACATTAAAACTCATCAAGTTCCAACCCCTACATCTGATAAACCCCATAAATGTTTAGATTGTGGTAAAAGTTTTGCATTATTACAACATCTCACTGGTCACTCAAGAATTCATATTGCTGGCCGATATTACGAGTGTCCTGTCTGTAGGAGAAAATTTACTGAATTGTCTAACCTTACTATGCATTTGTTAAAAACACATCCTGATGAAAAGCCGTATAAATGTTCAGAATGTGAGAAGCAATTTACTCAGTCTTCTGCTCTCAAGAAACATTTGAGAACACACAGTGGCATCACATCGCAAGATGAATTAGACCGCATTGACATGCAGTTTTTTGTGAACGACAAAAATGAAAGAGATTCAGAGGAGCCATTAAAGAAGAAGATTAAGCTTGAGAAAGAGGAAATAACATCACCTGTTAAAGAGAAATCGCCATGTGGGAAAGAGAGATTAAAAGATGAAAAGTCACCAACTACTAAGGAGAAGGTTGTGCTCACCAAACAAAAATCTGCACCAGTTGGGGAATTGAAAGTGACTAAAGCTTCACCCCCATCAACAAAGGGCATTAAGTCTCCAACACAGAAAGGAACTGAGATTATGAGCAAAACATCACCTGTCAAAGACAAAATGCCAAAGTTAAAAGAGAAGTCACCAAAAGAAAAGAAGTTTCCTTCCCCTCAAGGAAAAGTCTCTGCTGTTAAAATAAGCTCTACAGGATTTGATGTATTACCTGCTATTAAGCATTTGGAAGGTCAGCCTGCACCATCCAAAGACCAATCTGCACTAATTAATAGAAAATCACCTATCAAAGATATGTCAAAACAATTGGAAAGCATATCCATGTCAAGTAATGAAGTACATGTTAAAGATGAGCCGTCACATGAGAACTCATCTGAAGTTTCCAAAAAATCTCTTTTATTAGAGGACTCACTGCCAGTGAAGGTTGTTCTTTCACCAATGAAAGAATCTCCTTCAGAAGAAGAACCATTAATCCCATCTGAAGCTTTACTTCTCCATATCAAAGAAGAGTGTCCTGACGATGAGCATAGCGCTGATCACACACCCTCTTTCACTTCAAATGTGTTAAAAGAGCCCATGTCTATATTGAGTGAACTTTCAGAAGAAACAAGTCTCACCCATGTTGAAGGAGAAGCTGCAGCTCAGAATGAGAATAATTCAAAAAGTGGAACTTCCCCTCTTAATAATTTCAATGATTCCTCACTTAATCGGAATGGTGTCCCACTAGATTTAGTTCACTGTCCAAAAATCAAGGTAACAAAGTTTTCTGAAACTGAACAAGTCAGTGAAAACCAGAAGGTCCATGGGATAGTTCCTATGACCTCTCCAACTAAATCCACATCAGTCACAAACGTTAATAGACTAGAATCTCAGAACAGTAATGAAGATACTGAAAATTTAAACCAAATGTCGGTATCAAAGGACTCAAAACCAGCCTCATCCACTCTCCATAAATCTCAGTGGTTTAAAAGTTGGGACAGTAATAAACTTGATAAGAAAGAGCCTTGGCCATCTAAAGGAAAGCCTGATGGCCCCTGTGAAGAAAGGTATAAATGTCATAGATGCAACATTTTTATGGATTCTGAAGAGCAACTTCATGAACATCTGATGGAGCATACTGGTGTAAAACTTTGTGAATGTCGATTCTGTGGGAAGGATTTCACATCCATGACTTCTTTGAAACGACACACCTACTATCATGTTGCTGGATTGATTCCTCAGGATTGCACGAGATGTGGTAAAAATTTCTCTACATTTATGGATTTGAAGGACCACTGTGTTAGCAAAAAGTGTGATGCATCTGGGAACACGTTCCGTTTTAAATGCTTTCGATGTAAGAAACACACTCCATCTTTAGAAAGACTGAAGTTTCATCTTCTGTCTCAGTGCAATGAAGAACCAATCAAGTATTATATTCCAAAAAAACTTGATGACATTGCTTCAACAAAGTCCACCGAAAGTCAAGCTGAAAATAATAGATCTGATAAAGACAATACTGGCTCTAACTTGTATAATTGCAATAATGAGTGGGTAAACCAGAAATTTGAGAAAAGTGAGTGTCTTAGTTTAGATGACATGGTACAGTTAAATTTGAAAGGCAATGATGTTGAAGCATTGCAAGTTTTAAATGAACTTGGTCCTTCTGATAGAGGAAAAGAATGTTGGAATTTGCAATGTGAAAACTGTGGTCATAGATTTGAAAATTCTGAGAAGGCTAAGGTCCATTGTAAATTGGGATGTGAAAAAGTACCAGAAGTGAAACAAGAATCTGAGAATGGAGATGATGCAGAACCATCACAGCAACTTGCAAAGGAACCAGATAATAAACCTGAGAACAATGCAGAAGTAGAAAATGTTAAAATAAAACTGGTCGTTGAAGAGGATGAAGACCTGCAGTGCTATTTGGACTGTGCAGTGTGCGGGAAGGAAGTTGCTGGAGTTGAAAGAATGCTGCTTCATATCAAAGACCATATTAATGAACGGAATACACTTGAATGCCCAGTGTTAAAATGTGGAAGATTTTTCACTGACCCAAAGGATTTTAAATTGCATCTCAAGACCCATACTGGTCACAAACCCTACAAATGTTCAGATTGTGGTAAAAGATTTTTTTTGCGAGAGAACTATGAAAATCATGCTCAACGTCATGGTGTATTGAAGCATTGGAGTTCATTAAACTCAAATGAAAAAACTGGTAAAAATTCTGGAAGTGCTAGAAGCCCTATTACCATTGAATCAAGCATTAGTAATTTGGAAGTTTCAGAAGCAGATTTTGACAAAAAGCAACGTAAAACTTCGAACATTAGTTCTCAAGCAAACAGAAATCGTGCTGATTTACATTCTAAGGAAAATAGAAAACAAGAAGTCCCTATCAATCTGAACAAGAAACCAACTTCTGATAAACCATCTTCTAAACTGAAGAAATCATTACCAGCAGTAAACAGGTCTACTCCTCCTGTTAGTAGAACTGCTCCTTCAGTAAATAAACCTCTGCCTTTGGTGAACAGACCCTTGCCAATTATTAACAGGCCCTTACCAACTATAAACAGACCTTTACCAATTGTGAACAAGGCCTCACCAACTATGAACAGACCTTCGCCAATTGTGAACAGGGCCTCACCAACTGTGAACAGACATTCACCAATTGTGAACAGACATTCACCAATTGTGAACAAGGCCTCACCAACTGTGAACAAGGTCTCACCAACTGTAAGCAAGGTCTCACCAACTGTAAGTAAGGTCTCACCTATCCAGAACAGGACTTCACCAATAATGGACATCATATCACCAGTTATGGAAGATAATCCGTCACCACCAATGCCAACTATGAGCTTATCTCTGCCATCCATGAACAGGCCCATAGTTACTAGACCTATACCAGGCCTGATATCATCAGCTGCTGCTGTCATCAGACCTACATCTTTGCTGCAAGGTAGTATTGTTGGTAGACTTACAGGTCCTTCAGGTGGGTCATTATCGGTAACCCCTCAAGGAATTTTCACAGTTGTGCCCCCAAGATCCTTCACATTATCACCACCAAGCAGTAGCAAGCCTACATTTACTATGGTAAGAACTAAACAAGAAGTCCGACAAGATTTAAGACAGGAATTCAGACAGGAAAAAAGACAAGAAATAAAACAAGAAATAAAACAAGAAATAAGAACAGAAATAAGAACAGAAATAAAACAAGAAATAAAACAAGAAGTACCCCATAGAGAGATGAGGCAATCTCGTGCTCATCCATCAGCGTATTACAAACTATCCGACCAGGCTAGAGCTACTATTCAGGCATCTAATGCGGAGTTACGGAAGTACCCCCGATCTGGAAGATGTGATATATGCAAGAAGACTTGTTCCCGCCTTGACAAACATATGATGGTGCATCTGAATCAGAAACCTCACCTTTGTCCAGTTTGTCCTCAAACATTCAGACAAAGTGAACACCTAAGGCGTCATATCAGAGCTAAGCATGAAGGCAATCATAGACAGTTTGAGTGCCCTCAGTGTCACAAAAGGCTAACAAGAAAGGACAAACTTAAGGAGCATATGAAGAATTGTGGTATACGGCCATATCCCGACAGCTATTCTCCAACTTTGAGTGATAGTTTATTTGACATGATTCCTGGACCCTCGGAGACTTCCTATCAAGGCCATACAACAGTATGATAAGATATAAGGCTATCCCTGAGTCCCATCACCATCACCCTTGTACTACTGACTCTTTGGTCAATCCTCCAGTAGACGCTTCCTGAAAACTTTATTAATGAATATGCAAGTATCTCATTGGATATTTTGTTGTGATATATTAATTAAGTACAGTATTGTGGTATCTAATAGAATGTTGAACAGTCCCAGTGATAGAAACAGTTACTCTTTAGTAATTTATTTAGTAAGCCTGATCATGAAATTGCAAGTTGTCGGACCTATCTAGTACATGAATTTCACTGTGTAATGAAATTCAGTTCTGCCCATTGAGGATTGTCAGAATATATGTAAGAGTGCTGGGAAAACAAACTACAAGTAGCTAATACTTGTTTGGATAGAGAGTTCCTAATATATGATGTACTGTTACCTGACCTCCAGTTTCTGCCCTTATTTTGGCCTATGAATGTTATACATAATTATAAGATCTGTGCAGCTATTGTAAATGTTTGCTACATCATGTGGACCTTGCCTTCTCTGAACAAATCTGATTTTCTGCCATTGAATGTCGAAATCACGGCTGTGCCGCTGTTTGGAATCCTTTTTTTAAAATGTTTTTAATGGAGTATGATATTAAAAGTGTTTATCATTGCAGTTGTATGCAGGCAGATTGATAGTAGACCCTTATTTCTTAGATTTGACTTTATCATATTTCAGTAATTCTTCAAATATACCTTTGCTAAACTTATTCATTTAGATACAAATCATATTCATGTTTATATTGTGATTTTAATAATTTAGTTATCTTTTTATAGGCGTGCCTATTTACATTACCAGTATTGTAATTTTAGATACTCTTTCATGTTGATTTTTTGTTGTCATTAATGTAGTGCTTAAGGGTAGTCTTAGAAGTAAACCACTATTGAAAGATAATCGACTTTTCTTTTTTTGTTCTTTTGTAAGGGTCATTAAATTTAATCTCAGATAAGAATGTTTCATTTTTATTGGAATTGGACATTAGCATGATAAGATCTGATTAGGTTTTACAGCGTGTAAAAGTGTTAAAATACATGTTAAAATAGAAATAAAAATTAATTACAAAAGTTACGATTGTTTCATACAATTTGTACACACAAGTAAAAAATTCACTATTAATACACAGAATGATTTCACAATCACTGCATGCACGAATCTTTTCCTTCTAATACTTCAGACTTAACTTTGCATTTGGCTACAAGAGATTTACAGATTTCCATTCCTATAGCACGACCCATTGGTGGTGGAACAGCATTACCAATTTGTCGATGTTTGTCTAATATATTACCATAGAATCTATACGTATCTGGGAAGCCCTGCGAACGAGCACATTCTCTCACACTTACAACACGTGTCTGATCTGGGTGAAGTACTCGGCCCTGATGGTTGGGAGCAAATAGAAAACAACTTGAAAGTAAAAATCAAAGGCAATAGAAAAATTAAAAATATGTAGGAAGAAATTATAATTACCTGCTTGCCCATGGGTTCGGGATTGGTGACTGTTGTTGAAAAGAATCCATTCCACTCTAAACGTCCATACAGTCCAGCCCAGTGGTTATGTCTGTTCCCAGTGTGGGGTAGACACCACGGAATCAACGTATTGTACTGCTTGTCAATAGGATCACATATTTTCCCACTGGCACAACTGCATACTCCTCTTAAAGCACCAGTGGATGATTTACCATTCTTTTTGTCATGATGGGAGTAAACTCTGTAAAAAATACAATAACTACATAAGAACACACATTTTCGCTATAATGAATAGACACTGCATGACAAGTAGAACTTACAGTTTTTGTGTCATTTTGCCATCCTTAAGGAGAACCTCTATGTTAGGAAGGTCCCTCCAGTCTGAACCAGCAGCAATTGGTATGTTGGAAATACGAGCTTCAACAAGGGGAGCCATTTCTTTGCAGATGTGATCACGCAAAATAGGCTGATGTTGATTGCCTCTGATCTGTGATAAAACGTACGTATTAAAGTCAATCAACTTGCAGTTAACAGTTTACATGTGAGTCCTTTTATTTCCAGATTCTTACTTTTCGCTGGAAATCAGAAACGGCTTCTCCTCCATAAGACATTTCCTCTTTACTGTGCCCATTAGATATTTCAGGCAAATCCGACAAAGCATCCCGCACAGTTATAGTGCGAAGAGGAGCATATCCAGCCCACTGGTTTGGTTTGAACTAGATCATAGAAATAATAATGAATAAAGAGAGAAATAGAAAATGCGCAAACTATTTTAAGTAGTCATATTCTGGTTTTCTTACCTTCTTATCATCAACAACAATGGAAAGCTGACATGCTCTTGGGTTAAATACATGCAATGGAGTTGGAAATTCTGGTAAAACTTCGCCTGGGGCTGCGGCTATTATGATAGCTCTGGATAGGAGCACACAGGAATGTGGACATATATCATATTACAGTATAATATATCTCACCCCATTCCTTCAGTATTAATCTTTAAAAAAAAAAAACATACCTGCGGCGAGTCTGAGGAACACCAAAGTTACCAGCTTGCAAAACTCCAAAGGTGCATTGGTAACCCATCTTCACAAGACAACGCAAGGTTAATTTAAGAACAATACTGCGCTTGAATGCCACAAAGTTTCGTACATTCTCCAAAATGAAAAAGCGGGGTCGGTAAAACTCACAATATGAGAGATATGTTACAATGAGAGAGTTCTGGAATTTGGACAGTTTTTAGGGTATAAAATACAAACAATGAACCAAATTTAACATGTACAAGATATTATGCCACACTTTAAGTTCTCACCTTGAAAAGAGAATACTGACGTGAATTGAATCTGTTCATACCACTGAATCCCTGACAAGGAGGACCTCCACACAGCAATTCTACTTCACCTTTCTGTGGAATTACTTGCTTTTTGGCTGTTGTCTTTTGACCCTTAAGAATCAGATTCACATTGGATTAGTATATATTATATATTGTAACATTAAAACAATGAGAAAAGAACATAAAATATCTTACCTGTATAGCAAGTTTTAACAACATATTACAGTCTTCTGAGAATACAGTTGCTTCTGGATTATTAAGATGAAATGCATGAGCAGCCGCTTCTTCTTTCTCAATGGCCCATTTTGTTTCTGCAACACCTGCTTGGTGAAGGCCTTCTGACAATCCTAAGTACAAGAAAAATGTTTACCATCTATTGGGAAACTGTATCTCATTTTATTTCTCAAATTAGAATGAGAGTCAATTAGTTGATTAAGAAAACCTACCTCCACAACCTGAAAATACATCTAGTGTTTTCAGCTTTTGACATGCTGGAGGCCAAGATGGAGCATAAGTGTTAACATTTTCATGGTCAATCACACTTTTCCTTCCTTTTCCTTTCCCTTTTCCTTTACCCTGTGATCAAACCAGAGACACATTAAAAATTACATTCCAATTTATGAAGTTCAAAGTCAGTTGTACTGTAAATAAGGTACCTTTCCTTTCGACCCTATCAACGCAGCTTTCGATGGAGGATCATCAAAGCTTTGTGTTTTAGAATCATATGCTTCCCGAAAGTAGAAACGATCAGGCCCACCAGCTACCCACTCCGACTCAGAAACATCTAAGTTTTCACTGTACATCAAAAAGCATTTTCCTTTCACTTTAGAAAAGTCCACAACAACCTCTGGATTTGGAGAGACGGAATTAAGTTTACTATTGTTTCCATTAAGAAGATCATCCAACAACAGTTCATCATCACAAACGAATATAGTGGTACTATCAAAGAAAAATAACTACCTTCATCACTCCAGTATACCATATTGAGATCAAGTTGCTGAGCAGCAGTTTGACCTTTGTGAGTGTTCTCAGGGCGATAAAATTTGTTCACTCTCAGGAAAATTTCAGATTCACTCATGTGCTTTTCTTTTGAGCGGGAAAATATACCAGATATATATCCAATGCAATAAGGGTCAGGTGTTTCTTGGTTGGAGCCTTTAACATGATCTGATGATTTCCTATAGTACTCTGGGTACAGGTCTTCATCTCCAGCCTTCAACAAAAATGTAAGTAATTTTAATAAGAAAGTCATGTAATGTTTTCACTATGGAAATCAGCAACTGAGCATATTTATTAGATTAATATACTATTTCAGTAAACCAGCCATCTTACCTTTTCATGTCTCTGTTTCTTCAGATGTAACCCTGGAGATTTAAAGTTAAAGGCACCAGGTTTTAAATAAACTCCACAACCTTCTCTATATTCTTCTCCTCTCCAGTGAATGACAGCATACTTAATCTGTAAAATTCAATATATTGATTCCCGCAAATAGATGTGGAGTTATACTACTAGTTTATAACATAACACCTGTGTCAAAAGTGCAAGTACCTCTTTGCTATCATCCACATTCATCCCTTCAGCCAGCCTGGGAAAATCTACCTTTTCTTTCTGCAATTTTCTTTCACATGATACACAGAATCTATGCTCTACATCAAGTTTTGGGCATACAGGGTTAACTGGAGGATCTTCAAATCTGCCTCGTTTTGTATCATAGTACATTTGGTAAAAGAAACTTTTACCATCATCTGGTACATCATTTTCAGCTTCAGGTTCCCCTCCAAGTTGATGCCAGTTACTTGGTGGAGGCTTATAAATGACATTTGCAATGTGAGATACAATGCCCAAATCCATAGTGCAGCATATATCCACAAGAAACAATTCACGAGGATCAGAGGTCTCACCCAAAACTGTGTGCATTCCGCGACTATAATTGACAGACAATACAATTATCCAATATCCAATAATCATTTGTTGTGAATACTGTAGGTAATTCAGCTCACCTGTACCAAGTAGCATGAAACTTTTTTTCTCCTTTAGTTCCTTCCCACATGTACACAACACGAGCTATGAGTACAGGGACAGAAGGATCTTTCCGTTCCACTAGGACATTATCATTTACACCAAATTCAATAGCCCCTACACGAACCCGGCTAGAGAGGGAGAAAATACAACAGAATAAAATGAAGAACAAGAAGTAGGTGACAATTCTTGGATTTGAGTACACTGTGACATCAAATATATGCAACAACAATCTGCTACACAACTGGTGTGACAGGGTAGAAGAGTCAAAAATTTGTACCTGTAGAATGTGCGTTTATCATCAGATTTGATTGCATCTCCTATCCATTCCACTTCCCTTTTTTCACGCGATACTCCAGTTACAGGTACCTTTTCTGTCCAACTTGTGTTTTGGTTATCAGCTGCCTGTTCATAATCATCTTCATCCTCAGGATCTGAATCCTCTGCCTCTTGAACAGCCAAATTGGGGCACCTCAAGTGAAAGAAATTTTAAGACTTACTGATTACTTGTTACATATGATACTGAGTTCAAATTTTCATAAGCAGGTTTTTACAGTACCTTCTCTCATTACAAGCTTGTTTGCTACGGCCACTTCCACCAAACTTGACCATATCTTTACAAGCAGAACATGAACCACAATCAGGCATCTGGCATGCCTCGCAGACACCACAGCGTTGACGACGAGGTGCCTGCATTAATTAAACACTATAATTGTAATAACACTCATTAAAATAATTCTAATTTTTGAAAACATAAAAACAGATTTTCAACAAACCTGACTGCCCTTGTCACTACCCATATCGAGTTGCTCAGAGAAAAATGTATCAAATAAATTTCGAACAAGGTCAGTGGTAGTTGCTTTCGTCCATGCTGGTTTTTTATCTGCAATTGTTTTACGCTCAGCTTTGCGAATTGCACGCCTACAAGAAAAAAGAATTGCTTTAGAAATAATTCACCTTAGCATCAACAGATTTTTGAGTGTAGGTGGATGATACCTTTTACCAAGGGTAACACCAGCTAGTCTCATAAGGGTTCTCATGCATGGCAAGACAATGAGAAGTGTCCCATCAGTTCCAGCTGAATCAAAGCTTTCTACTTGGTCACATATGAACTGAGCATGACGAAGAAGACTATCTTCACTTAATTCCACTCCTTTAGGAGGAACAGTGGTCTAATTGTAAAAATAAAAGGAATATTAAAATAACAGTTGTAGAATGAATACTTCACATGAGATACATTAAAATAGTAACCTGAAATTTGTTCAATAAATCTTCAAAAGCAGGATTTTCTGCCTCTATTAAAAATTCGATCACAAGTTTACTCATGTAAATTTTCTCTCGTACACGTTGCATGAATGGCAAGTATTTCTCGGATGGATCCATGAGATAATACTCTCCATATGCAGTGGTAATACCAATTAAAGCAATCTCTCCCCCATCAAAGCCAGAAGTAAACCACTCATTTATTGGACCCAAATCCATTACGGGAACGCCATCTACAGAAAAAAGCAAAAAGTGTTATTTGATTTAATCAATTGAAACCCCTTTCTAACATAGGAAAGAATAAAAACCTTCTGTGTCTGCACTTTCTTCGTAAACTGCTTTTACGTATCCAGATACATAAAGTAAGACATTTTTTTCTATGAGTCCAGTATCAAAAGGACAAAGATGGCCAGCTTTATCATATACACTGGGCAAACAAATATAAACAGTTATAAAGAAATAAATTATAATGACTCCATAAATTGATAGAAGGATTAAGTACCCACCTAAAACAGGTTAATTTATTCAAGGGACGAGCATCAGTTTCATTGATTTCAGACTCATTTCCGGTAAAAAGGGATAAGCGGTTGTCAGTTAAAGCAATGTACTCTTCAACAGCACCTCGAGGGTGGCCTTCATACAGACACAATTCAGGACTCTCCAGAAGCTGTCGACAGATTTGACACCTTGTGTTTCCTATTCCTTCCTTAGAGGGTTTCCTGGAAATGTAAATATAGACATGATAATAAGAGAAGAACTAAGTTATATCAAGTAATCTTGTAAAACCACCATACTTTTCCACATGCTCTTGTTTGATATTTTTCTTGGTAACTTTGGGTCTTTTACTTTCTCTGTCTTCATTATCACTTTCAGCCCCACTGTCATCTTCAACTGATTTAGTATCAATGCTTGATGGTTTTGGTGTTGATGATGCTTGAGCAGAATTAGTGCTTCCACAGGGATCGGTATACTCTCCTTCTTCAGGCTCAGATTTCACTATTTTACTTGGGGCTGAAATAACTGAGCTATTAGAAGATATCCTATTGCTGGTCCTTTGAGGTGCAGGCGATACAAGTGACTTCCTCCTGGGAGGTCTCCCTCTTGATCTTTGTTTTAATCCCTCTTCATTTGCTTCATTCTCTTCTTCCTTTCCCGAAGAAAGGTCGTCTTGAGGTCCTGCTGAAGACAATGCAAGTGACTTCCTTCCAGGAGGTCTACCTCTTGGTTTTCTTTTGCCACTTTCTTCATTGACTTCATTCTCATCTTCCTTTTCTGAAGAATGGACCTCTTGAGGTCCTGATGAAGACAGTGCAAGTGACTTCCTTCCGGGAGGTCTACCTCTTGGTCTTCTTTTACCACTCTCTTCATTGACTTCATTCTCCTCTTCCTTTCCCGAAGAATGTTCCTCTTGAGTTCCTGGTGAAGATGTTGCAAGTGACTTCCTTCGGAGAGATCTTTCTATTGATTCTCTTTTCATACTTTCTTCATGGACTTCATTGTCTACATCCTTCCCTGAAGAATTTCTCTCCTGCTTCCCATTACCACTGCTAATCACTTTGTTCCCAATAACTGCATCAGCTAAGGACACATCAGGAGTTTCATGTTCAGATGAAATAGAACAAGATGAATTGATGTCCCCCTCAGGTAAGAGAGGTGAAACTCCATTTAGGGAAACTGAAGAGCTGGGCCCTGCTACTTCATCATGTTCTTGATCTGATAGCTCCTTTTTCAACATACCAAGGTTTGAAACTAAACTACTTTCCGCAATCTCAGTACATTTCTCCATCTTGATTTGCTTTGTGATCTGAGCATTCTTAGGTTCATTCTTCACTACCACAGTAGTTGCTGGAGTTTCAATTTCCATTTCATTATTGTACTGTGCAATGATGATTGAATCAAGACTATTCATTAACATTTGAAAACGTTCCAAGTATTGTTCCTGAAAATTGAGATTTTTATTATTATCCACCGAAGTAAGGTATTACATTAGTGATAGCCTGCAAAACAAACATAAAATTACCTCAGATATTGTATCATTATTTATCTGTAATTGCAGGGCATGTACTTTTTCGACTAAAGTCGGAGAAGCTAAGGGTGCCAGCAAGTTCCATCTCTTCTTGAAAAATCCTTTCTTAGTTAGAATCCCGTCAGATAAATCTTGATCTAGAACTTCCAGTCTGAAAGACAAAGACAAAGCAAGTGCTTCACAGTTATTGTACATATAGTTTAACCTCCGAGTCTTTAGGGATTACTCACTGCGATTGGATTTCATCAGTTAAAGTCAACTTTTCACTAGTAGCTGAAGGCATGGCAGCGACTAAAGGGCATTGAATGAATTGCTGTAAATGTATTAAAGTAGATAAATGCGATCTTGAATGGAATAGCGAGTAATATGCCGAATATACTTTGATTGAAACCCAAAATATTACTAAAGTCTTCGTCTCGAGTTTCTCATTGTCTGCTAACCTGCTGACAAACGTTTTCGGCGGGAAAATGTGGGGTGCATGTTTACCAACACACCGTCATTTGAAATGTACATTGGTTTATGTAACGGTTTTAAAATTGGGTTCTTGACCACATTTATATTATCCAAATTTAAAATTGTTAAGATTTAAATCAGAAAGGGGGGTTTGAGTGCAACATTTTGGTATTTTACAATACATTAAAATGTTAGTGTGTTTGCGTTGACTCGTCACTCCCGAAACTGAGTTTCTTTTTAAGGTAGGCGGTGGCAAACAATAAACAACACAACAAAACAATAAGTCAAAAAAGTTGGTGAACCGAATGAGCAACGAAAATCTCCTTTCATAGTGCCGAACTTTAATTCATCGTTTCTCTGCATTCCCTTCGAATGGAATAAGACTTATCTGTGATCCAGCAGGTTAGTACATGAAATTTGGGGCTCCTCTTTGTTTGTTTTGTTTTCGTTGTATCAGACTTTGCTCTGTTTGCTCTGGTTGGCCAGCCAACGGGGGCATCTCAGATACTATGTTCTTTCTTTGTAACTCTTGTTCCGTGTGATTATCATTCAATGTTACTTCGTGCTTTCTTAGCCTGTCTTTGTTATTTTTTCCTCTGAAATAAGTTAATTTTTAAAGAAAAATATTTTTTAGTACACTAGAATTTTCTTATCCGAACCTGTACTATGGATTGTATGTAACTTTCTGACCACAACTTTGATGTTTTGATGTATTTCTATTATGCTTCTCTCATGTTTCAGGTTTCAGGATGGGGAGACATGATGGGGACTGCGCAGTTTCCCAGGCCAAAGCGATGTGTCATTGTGCCTCAAAACGTTTGGTTATTCATGTGTTGGATGCCACATCTCTTGTCTTTGTCCTCATTCTTCAGGCAAGCGTTCTCAACTACTACATAATCCAGTATTACAAAAGCACAGTTAGTCCATACTTTTGGTTTGTTGGAGACTTCATTTGCCTCTTCATATTTGCGGGAACTCTGACCACATCATACCGCTACCTGACGAGATGCCAAGAATGCCACCCATGCAAAGGAGAGAAATCATTTTATTTATCACCAAAGCGCATTGTTGCAAATTTCCCTATCAGTAAATTAGGCATGTTGCCTCTGAGTTATGTATCATGGTTTCTGTACTCGTGCATGCTTCTTGCAAAAGTGATAATCATTTTTAAGTCAGAAATTCCTGAACAGTTGAGTCTCGATGATGCATTTGGACCTCAGCTTCTTCAAATAGCCATTGCTATGTCAGGAATAATATTTCTCTTGTTGGTTGAAGGCCACAATTGGGCAGAGCGTGGGTCACCAAGGTACATATATGTGACTAGCGTATGTGGTAAAACAGGTATTGAAATCTTGGATACTGTGTCTTTATTGAGTATTTTGCTTCTGGCCAGCACACAAAGTTTTCTTACCCCAAATTTGGAGAATGCTGTGATTATTTTGTCTGCTTTCAACTTTTTCTTGCCTGTCCTGGCCTTGTACAAACTGAGTCTTTGTGACTTTGCTGCCCATCCATTTTCATTACCAATAAGTGTTCTCCATAATTTGCTCCATCTGTGCCTTGTAGATGTCCCATTTCTTTGCGTGCGTGTGTACCTATGGCTTTATTACAAGCAGCATGCCTCCATTTTCATAATGAAAAATGTGTTCAGCATAATCCTTGTGCTTCGGGGTATGTACCCAGATCTTTTCAAATTGGTTCAGATGTTCTGCCAGATGAAGCCATCAGGCTCAGATAAAGGGAATGTTACAGAATTGGAAGGACTTAACAAACAGTCAGGCTCAGCTGATAACTTTGAGGAAATCAATCTTGGTGGTGGTGACAAAGATGAAACTGCAGCAAAGCCAATTTTGAAGAAAAACTCTGTTTTGGTTAAGGAAAGTTCAACTAAAATCCCTGTCTGAAGAGTCGTATTTCCTAGCCAAAATTTATGTGTATTGAGTATCAAAAACTTGTCTAATGTGGCAAGCTTGTCAATTATCTCAAGATATCAGTCCAATTGATTGAATCTCAGATGTAATGTTTGATCTGCTAAGGGAAAACAATTTTATTACAGTCTAAAAAATTATATCTATTCTCAATTAGTATGTTTAATACTTGATGTACCCTTGCCGAATATGTATTTCTTTGAAACAGTTCAACAACTTTATAATGATAAGGTACTTTATCAACATTTCCTTGGAAACTGCTCTTCTATTTTCAAAGGTTTTCTCCAAGGTGGTGTTTATTTTTTGTTTGTTTGTAAGTATGTTGAGCTCAGCATGAAGATGATGATATTTGTGCAGATCATCAGCCTCATTTTTCCTCATTTTGTGTTTTGTATTAATGCCAGGCCCAGGCACACTTGGCACTGTGATCTCAAAAGACTTAGAAATATAATTGCCTTCAAATCCTTCATGTTTGGGCAAAATACTGAAACTGTATTTATGAAGCAACTTTAGATCTATTAATTTTTATAGTTCCTATGTGGAATATTATGTTCTGTAAGACAGGTTTTGGCATGCCTATATTACTGATTAATAGGGTTTCTTGTATGTGACCTTTTAAGCTTCATTTGTGCCAACAAATTCAATTTTAAGATTTTCTTTAGAGATTTGTTAATGGTGTGAAGCTTGAAATGTCAATGTTCAAGACTTGTTTATGAGTTGAATTCGTCCTGCACAAATGTAAGAGAATTTTTCTCCGACTGATAACCGCAGAATGCTTTGAATGGAAACTTTATTATGGCCTCAGAGGGCTGAATTAATTTTACTGAAAACAACAGAGTTGTTAATGAGTCTCCTTTTACTGTAAGTAATGGACTGAAATTTGAGATTTAAATAATGGTGTAGTATTTTATACTCATCTTGTTGCTGTTTAAGTGACTGAAGTGGGCCAGTGCATAAATTAATTAAGGGTTTCTGTATCATTCATAACAACTACCAGACATTCTTTTGCAATGTTCTTTTCACAATTGATATGCTTTAATGATAGTATTTTGTGATGATTTAATTTGAATGAGGTATTCTGGCTCACCTACCTACTGTGATCCTTGTCAACAGCACACTGAACATCATAGATTTCTTTTAAGTACATGCATATATCTCTGATTTTGTTAAGTTCTAATACTGCAAGTAAATCAAAAATACCCTTTTTTGTTTGTAAGGTAGAACCTCTTCAAATTATTTTGATCTTTTTTGGTCAATTTGTGTTTATGTAATTGTTAGTATAGATCAAACATTAAGAACCTAAATGTCCATATTTTACCAAAAAATATACAATTAAAGCAAAGATATATTTAATTTAACGGTTATAATGTCAATCTATACCCAGATTTTTCTAATGAATTTTTTGTACTTTTAACCTGGGCTGTTTGTTTTAATGTAAGAAAGTTCATTCACTTTTCTAATGCTAAATTGTTAATTTTAATTGGAAACACCATATTTCAGAGCTTTGTTGTGTTTGTGTGTTGTTTTTTTCCAGACATGGTGTGCTCTCTATTTTGGGACTCAGTATAGATGAAATACCTTGCTATACTTTACTCAATGTCTGCCTCTATAGCTTGAAGCCTTTACTACACATATTGTTTATGCCTTTCTTTGTGGATATTAATCTTGTGGTGATTTGTGTAACATGTAATTGATGAATTTATAGAAAGTTAATTCAAAGTGATAAATTGTTGGGATTTTTGTGTGTGTGTGTTTGCGTATGTATTTGTCAGCCTGTGCAATTTGTCATTTTGATGCCAAATACATTTTATTTTAAACCATTTAGATTGAGCATGTTTTCAAGAAGCCCCACTTTTAAGTAACATAAAATCTTTTATTAGAAAATATTTCTAGTAGTACGTTCTATGTACAGTAACTATAACACAATGTAACACTCATGAATCACAATTTTTTCCGAGATCTCCTTTCTTACTATAGTCAAAGAAATATACAAACTAACAATCTAAGACAACTAGGTGCTGACAAAGACAATGGTAGGCAACCCATTCAACAGTGAACTCCTGCTGAAAATAACTGACTAGACGGAAATTCCGCATTTAACCAGCTAGGAAGCTAAAGAGTTTGTACAACTCTACTTTCTTAATAGATGATCGTTTAGATTGTGTAAAATCGGTCAAGATCCTCGAAAACTGTCATGGTTCTCACAATCTCTCGGTGAAGCGATGGAGAGGCGTCCCTGGTGGTCGATCGGGCCCTATGAATCACATTTGCAGAGTCAAAATCATATAGTTAAAAATAGCAAACAAGCCAGCTCCTTGCGATGCGGGTACGGCGACTGCTCTAGAGCAAAGAGGATTATGTCGAACTTACTGTTGAACTTGTGCGGCGCCGGGTTGGGGATGGGCAGGCCGGGCAGGCCCGAGTCCACCCACGCACTCACGGGGTAGCCCGGCTCCTTATGCACCGAGACATCGAGCCCTGTCATGATACACGAAAACTGTTGAGCTCATTCAAGAAGATAGAAATTAGTTCAAAAGAGGAGGAGGCGGGTAGCCAACCTTTAATCTCCTCGTCCTCGGAGACCCTGAGCAGGCCCGAAACCCTCAGAATGGTGAACATGATCGCACTGCAGCACAACGACCACACCAGGATGGCCAGGGCGCCCGCCGCGTTGCAGGCCAGGTACTGAAACAGAGGCAGCGCGATGAGTCCTCTGCGCGCACCGGGCGCCAGCTGCGACAGCCACATCCCGCCCACCTACCATGAGCGACTCCTTGGTGACGGAGTGCAGGATGCCGTCCGGGGAGAGCAGTGGTCCCGCGAACAGGCCCCAAAGTCCCGCCCCCAAGTGCACCGGAGCGGCGTCCAGCGGGTCGTCCACTGGAACAGTGACAGCTGGGTCACGGGCCGGGCCGGGCATCACACGTGTTGTAGGGGAAGGGTCGGCTGCTGGGCACTCACCCTGCAGGCGCAGCAGCAGCGAGTGCAGGACCAGGAAGAAGACCGCGCCCACGGCACCCGTCACCACGGCGGCCCACATGGCCAGGGAGTTAACGGAGCCGCACACCGAGACCATCCCGGCGAGCATGGCGTTGGTGGGGACGGCGAAGCCCCACGCGGGGCTGCTGAGGGCGCCGACGCGCACGGCGAACAGCCCGCACAGGGCGCCGCCCGCCCCGGACAGCACCGTGTTGACCACGGCCGTGGACACGGCCACGCCGTCGCCGGCCGCCGTGATGCTGCCCTGGGAGCCGCCGTTGAAGCCGAGGAAGCCCGCGGCCAGGATGAGCGCGCCCACGCCCGTCAGCGGCGTCGAGTGGCCCGCCAGGTCCTGCACCTCGCCGCCGACGAAGCGGCCGCGGCGCGGTCCCAGGAAGACGCAGCCCGCCAGCGCGCAAGCGCCCCCCAGCAGGTGCACCACGCCCGACCCCGCGAAGTCCCTGAAGCCGAGCGTGTTGAGCCAGCCGTCCGGGTGCCACGCCCAGTGCGACACGGTGGGGTACACGAGGCCTGGCGAGAGCGGGGGTGGTGTTAGTCCCAACGGTCCACAGTCGACAGGCTGTACACGCAGTGTCTGTTAGGGATCATCCGGAAAGTACGCCAGTCATGCGCCCTTATGAAACGGACTTATGTTCAGCCTTTGCAAGGTCTCTTAGCGCCTGGTGGGTAGGCAATATCTCGCCTGCAGCGCACGCGTGTACTACAGGGGGGCCTACCCCGAGTCTCACAGGCGCTCAGCCCCCGTAATTTGCCGAATGAGTCTGGAAAAAACGAACGTACTTTCTGGATGATCCCTTACCGCTCTGCACGCTTGTGCGAGCTAGTAGCCTACTACTGGCACGGGGCCCTGACTTGATTTTTTTCTGGTGGGGCAATGGTTCCATCATCGTCTTCACCGGTTTCACTTAACGAATCGTGATAAAAGTACCCCACCCACCCCTCTTAAAAATGGCGTAATGCGTTCGTAGTCGGTCTGTCATGCGGCGTCTCTCCCCTCAGGCGGCCTACCAGAGATGGTGGCGCTGTAGCAGAGGTAGGTGACGAAGCGACAGCGCTCGGCCACGGCGCCGGAGATGATGGTGGCCGCCGTGGCCGCGAACGTGAACTGGAAGAACCACTTGGACATGCGAGGCTGGCCGGGGTCTCCGACGCCGCCGCCCGCCCAGAGCGAGCCGCCGAAGAACGAGCCGAGCGGTCCGGACCCGGAGCCGAACGCCAACGCGAAGCCCACGAGCCAGTAGAGCACGCCGCTGATGACTGCGTGAAACAAAAGGGGAGCATCGGCATTACAGGGTCGCGGCCAACAGGGTCTCGATCCTTCTTATCGTTAGAATGTACCGTAGGCATGCGTGCAGGCGGGCCTCATATAACACTACCAGCGAGTAAGGAACTCGGAAACACGCATGCACGCGGCACAGTATGACTCAAAAGGAAAAGTGGCGTCTCAAGGCCACCCCGTATTTTCAAAATTATTTGCTCATGAATATAATACTGCAGCAAAGCAGCCGCGCTATTATGGCAATCTCCAAACGGGGGTCTCGGATGAGACTTGTTTTGTGTCATTTCGCAGAGGGAACGACCAGCGCGCCCTTGAATGGTTTTCTGGAAGGCTCAAGCTCCAGTACGTACACATGTCCAGGACGTTCTTGAGGACGATGTTGGTCACATTCTTCGACCGCACCGATCCGGCCTCGAGGCAGGTGAACCCGGCCTGCATCACTGAAACACGCAACCACGCGCGTCAGGCCAGGGTGTCGCGGGGGCTGCTGGCAGGGCAGCGGGGGAGCGGAGCGTGGAAGACAAGGAAGCAGGAGGCTCCTGCCAACCTGGCTCTCCCTCCCACCCGTTTGGTCATCTCACGCGCCCGCGACTCCGACTTACGGACGACCACGATGCCGTTGCCGATGAGGAACACGTCGTCGATGTTGTCCCGGAGGTCCGCGTCCGCCAGCAGCCGCGACGTCGTGCGGTTGTCCGCTTCGGCCATGCTGAGCTGTACGAATGGAAGGAACAAATAAAACGCGTTAAATCACTGGAATAAATCCGCATTTTCTCGGTAGCATCGTTTAGTATTCGGGACTATCACGGGCTGCCACTTTGCATCGGGCCGGCCGCTGCACCCACAGCTGCGCCCATCACAGCGGTTTGGCAGGGCCATTTCGCGCACGCGACGGGTAAAGCACACTGCCGGAAATAACTTATTTCGTTGGACGCGGGCCGCTCCGACCGCTCCCCCCACCACTCGCACCGCTACACATAACAAGCGCGATGATTGGTGCAGCAGCCTGTCCTGTCGGCAGGCTCCAATTTCCATGGTAATTAATAGGACCCCCCCCCTCCCGCTCCCCAGCGCGCGAGCGTCCTGCGCCAGACCTCCAGGGGTGCCGGGCCGGCTGCTGGAGGAAGAGGTCCAGGCTCCAGGGGCGGACCCAACACCGCCGCTCCGCCATAGTGACGAAGGGTGGAAAAGTGTGTGTGGGGAGGGGGGAGGGGGTACGTCTCGCCCGCTGCTGCAGCTGTTAGGTGCTCGGTTAGACGTTGTTGGCGATTGGTAGTGATACTCACACTGCCGTCTGATTCAGAAGAGCGTTCAAGAAGGACTCTCCCATACCTGCCATATGAGTGCAACAAGGATGGAGCTATACGGGAAGTATGGGAGCGCAACTCTTGAACGCTCTTCTGAATCAGACGGCTGGGCATGAGAGGGATCAGTCCGGAAGAGGAAGAGACGAGGGCTCGGGCTGAGTGAGGTAATGAGAAGAGGGACGAGGCTTGGAGCAGGAGCAGGAGTCGAACCCGTGCCAAGGGCGCGGCACGCACCAAGGGCAAGGCGGGATTGAGCCGGGGAGAGGGAAGGGGGGGGGGGCGAGAGCGAGAGGGAGCGAGTGTGAGAGAGAGCAAGTAGCCGTAACTCGGCGGGAAGTGACACTAACTGCGCGCCTGGCGCGCACCCCTTTAATGAGAGGAAAGTGAGTCCAACAGCGGACCGGACCGCAAAGGCGCCGCAGAGTGGATGCTAAATAAAATAAAAGCCGTCATGTACACTGAAAAAACAACAACAACATATAGAATGTAATAACGCGCATCGGCGTGGTCGGTTGGTCGTTTCGCTCGGTGAGGGGTGGTCCATACAGTTTGGTCGGTGCAGGCCGAGTCTCATCGAGGGCGAGAGATGGAGGGAGAGAGAGAAAGAGAGAGAGAGAGACTGTCGACGTCGACCCGTCCGCCCGGTCGCCCGGTCCCGTCGGCGACGTGTTTCTTGATGAACGAGGCCGTGGGACGGTTCGACAGCTGCCGTCTCTCTCCTCCCCCCGAGCTCGGCCTTCGCGGGCGCGTGCGAGGGAGGCGGCCGGCGCTGCGGACGCAGCCGCCCGGCTCCGGCCCCGGGCAGGGCTGCTTGCTGCGTAGTAATACCGGCCCAATTCTAGAGGCAGTACCGAGGGGGGGAGGGGCGCACGACCAAGGGGCAGCACGGCAGGGCCATCCTTATGTAAAGCAGCACCTGCCAGCACCTCTCTGCCCGGCCATAAAGGCGCCCGACCGACCCCCGCCGTGAGTGGGACAAGGACGGGGCGGACCGGGCGCAACAGGGAAGGCCAGTCGCGCAGTCGCATTCATCAGTCTCATATTTGAGGGTATTCGGCGATTGTCTGTGGCGGTGTGTTTGTGTTTGCGAACGGGATAGAGAGCGAGAGAGAGGGAGGCACATGGAGGAGCTCGATAGGAGAGCAGAGGATGAGCAAAGAGACGGACCGAGGACGGATGGGCTGAGCGAGGCGAGCAGAGAGAGAGAGAGAGACGGAGAGCTGAGCCTCGACGGGTGGACAGGGAAGTCAACACTGGCAGGGGCCCTCCCTGTGGCGAGCCCCCGCCCCGCTGGAGACGCTGGAGCAGAGGTCACTGGAGAACAAACCTCCGCCGGGATGGCGCACCTCACAGCTGCTGCGCGGTGCAAGGTGACGCGGTGCGCCCCTCTCCGCAGCACGTGGCACCCGAACACCCTCCCCGCCGAGTTTGTCTCGCGCGCACAAGAAAGAAGAGTATTTGCTGAAATAGCTAAATATGTGTGTGGGGGGGGGGGGTCTGCTACTACAACAGTTTATTTGCTGTACACGAAAAATATTGCTCTCTGACCAGAGTCACAGTTGTTGCCTGCAAAACTTTTGCTGTGCCACACCAGAACAAAACAACTGTGCGTGTGCGCGTGGACTGTTTTATTTGCCTGCGTCGCGCTTGGAAAACAGAAACAGACACAGGGAGTCGATCCCTCACCTTCCCACGCATGAGTGAAAAAATGAACGTGGGCGGGGGAGTAGTGATGGTCGGCTGGACCAGCGGGGGGTGGCCGGGAGAGTATCGCGTTTTCGTCGGGGGTGGTGGTTCTTTCTCCTCCCTCGCCCCTACCCCCCCCCCCCCCCCCCCTTTCGCTCGCTGACCGCGGGCCGACGTTGCAGATAACGTCCGCGCCCGTCCGCGCTCTTAGGGCTGCCCGCCCCCTCCCCCTATCCTTATCACTCTCTCTCCTCTCTGAGGCGAGCGGCAGCTCCTCTGTACAGTCTTGGAGCCCACTGCTGCTGGAACGCGCAGTTTGAAGCATTATTACAATATCCACAGATAACCTGACCTGCACGTCAATTTCGAGAGTGAGTCGTCATGACAGTTCGGTGTATGACGCCGAGGGGTCCTTCACTATCGTACACTAGCGTACAGCGATTTTTCTGTTATTCTTGATTTTTTGTGATTTTATCTGACTTTTTGTTGATTTTTGGGTG